CCCTGCTCCTACATGGTAACTATGCTCTAAGTCCTGCACCCTTTAAGGTGTGGCATCTCTCCACTCCTTCTTCCAGCATGGCAGATCTCCCCACCCCACTCCCACCCCGTCTCTTACCTGAAAATTCTAAAAGCCCTGCCTCTGTTTGCGCTGCCCAGCCATTGACTGCCAGCAACTTTATTTACCAACCAGAAACAACTGGGGTAGGATCCCTCAATGTCTTATGAGCAGATTCTCATGCAAACAATTTTGGGGACATAAATTAACACAGTAAAAGAAGCCATAGAATATATTGCCTTGGAGTCTTTAAGCTTTGAAAGTTTACCATGAGAAATCAGTTGTTCCTACTCTGCTATTTTCCTCTAATTAGAGAAGTTAATTTTTTCGTTTAATGAGTTTTCTTTATTTGTGTCTTAAAGTTTTTCTCTTAGATACGTCAATCCACTTTTAGTTCTGTATATTTAGTGTTTTAACTATAAGATGCATAGAATTTTTTTATTTTACCCTTGCCTTTTTTGTGTTCTGTGTGCTTCTTGTACTATATGGGTGTCTTTGGGATGGCTCCTTCTATGATTTTATTGAAAGTCTTGTGTTTGCCATTGACTTGGAATTACTTTCCCTTACCTGTGCCTATAACATGAAGGTTTGTCTTATTTCATGGTGCCTCACATACACAACACATTCTAGGAATGCTGTCTTTCAAATGAGTTACATCCCAGCCCGAACAGCCCAGCTTATCCTGATAATATATTATCTTACTCCTGTGTGCCCAGTAAGAATTACTTTTCCTAAATATATTTGGAGGAGGTAACATTTTCATAGTGTTATCAAAAGAGCTGTTAAATTTTAGAGGAAACTCTAAAGATAATATCAATTAAGTATGGTGGGAACCATGAATGTTTTGAAAGCAGGGAAGATACCACGGGGAATCTTAAATTTTTTCTACTTCTTTTAAGTGGAATAATATTGTTGCTAGTTTTGTTTTGTTTGCAATGACTGGGATCAGTTAATCCACACAGACAGATATTGTCTGGAGAATATAGCTCACACACAGGTAACCCAGAGCTCAGCTGTTCCTACTTTAGTGTTTTCCTGAAATTAGAGAAGTTCACTTTTCCATTTGATGGTACCACTTCCTAACAAACTCAAGGTCAGAACTGCCTTCTCCAGATGACATGATAAATAAGGGGTCGAGAGGGAGATGAGCTGGTGACATCCTTATAACTACATCTTAGAACCTCATTCTACAAGGATGTTTGTCAAAGGCCAAGCCTGGTGAGTTTTTCCTTTTCATTATAGTGAGAACTGTAAGTAGATGATAAAGGAAGTGTAACAGATGATTAGAGAATTCTCTGCTTATAATATTAATTTTTGAGCCACTCTGTATAACAAGCATTCAACAGATGCTTGTAGACATGAAGGTATCAGTGTAATGAGTAACTAAAAAGTATATATTTCTCTTAATATGATCTTTGGTTATATCTGTGACACTAGAGGGGGTTACTCTGGAGCAAGGTCTAGCAGAAAGATTGATAGACAGAAGAGACTAATAGGTGAAGATGATCAATGGATATTGTATATTCAATGAACACGTCATGCAATCCATTACTTTTTACAATGAATGTACACTCATATACATGTAAAAAAAATGCTACAGATGCAATATTTAGGGAGCACAACTGAAATAGGAGTCTCCTGAGTGTACACTGTAATAATTCTAACCATATAGCTCCATGTCTTGGTTTCTTTTGTTACAGGTTTCTTCAGACAGCTGTCTGCACACTACTTAGGCTTTTTTTTATTCTAAATTCATTTAATAGTGATGGCTTCTTCACTATTATGAATGCTTGTGGACACACTTTGGACTTTATTACTTGCAACTAAATATTAAAATTTAAACTAATTGGAAAGACCCCGGCACTGTAATTTTTTTTCAAATAAAAAAAGACTTTTCTCAGTGCATGCCTATGTTAACAGCTCTGTATCCATGGTAGCTATGGTCTTCTCTGGTCTGCTCTCAGCTTCAGGGAACCCCAGAGAAAGATGCCGCTTGATCAATTAGAAGATGTGTCATTTCCTATATGTGATAAACATTTACAAAGCAATGATGTGAAATAGAAAGTTTGATAAATATACCTTTGGGGAAAAATACTTAAATGACTATCCCTTGGTTTATATTAACATTTTTATATTACTTGAATTGCATGTTGTATTTTAATAAATTATAGATTTATAAGTAATAAACAATTTTATACATATATGGTTTGTGCATTTGCAATTTTAAAATTCAAAAAAGGCTATTCTTCTTTCAATATGGAAACCAAGTCATAAATTAAGTATTATCCAGGAGCTTTTATTTATTTAAAGTTTGTTTATTTGATTTTACATATCTGAGTGTTTTGCTTGCATGTATGTCTGTGTACCACCGGTATGCCATATCAGAGAGAACAATAGATACTCTAGAACTAGAGTTACAGATAGTCATGGCCTAATATGTCATTGCTAGGAATGTAACCAAGCACCTTGCAACAGTTAAAATTGTTCTTAACTAAGTAATAGTGAAGAAAAAAACCCAGAACATTTCTATACAGCTGTTTTAAATGTATGTTGATGAGAGACTTAGATATGTGGCTCTGAAAGTTGGGTTAAATCCATTAATTTACTAAACTAATTATTTTAGGAGAAAAAATCAACTGTAAAATGTGTGATTTATCATGTTATAATCCTGGGGATATTATGGGATGGTCTTTTCCACTAACTGCTGCATTATTTTTATACATACAAGCAAGCATATGTCTATGTGTATGAAATATTCCAATGAACTTGAAAATATAATTGGATATTTTTTTCTCACAACATTTGAATTCAGTGTAGTCATTTCCTACCTCTTTATCACAAAGCTGATTTTAAAGTAGTGAATTAAATCAATTCAATTACAAATTGATCCTGGTAACTAGGCCAAGTAACTTACATAAGCACCAAAGGTAAGACTGTTGAGTAAAACTGTAAAGAATGTCTGGGTGCTGATGATGTCTAATAACTCTGCACGAGAAGGAATCTTGTTTTCCACTGCATGAGAAGGAATCTCTTTTAAACAGAAATTCCCAAACAGCATCACTATATGATCATCTTCACCAAGTCCATGTTTGTCATAATGTATGGAAAATAGGGTTTGTCTTAGCATCCCATACTCTCTCTTATTGGAGGCTCCTAGCTCCACAACTTCAGATGGAAATATATAGTCTGTAGTAACTACAGAAACCAGGAAAAGAAAATGGGACCATTATCAGGTTAAGGGTTAGGGTGGAAGCAATGGAGAGTAGAATATCAGGCTACAAGTATCTGATCTGAAAAATGAAAGAGACAGGGCTTCTTAGGGTGAAGAGGCAGGTAAATACAGAAGTGGGGAGGAAGATGAAGTGGAGTAGCAGCAGGACAGGACACAATGATCAAAGAGGGAAATGGGAAAATTGTGGGTTCATAAATAAGAGAGAGGGAGATAAATACAGAAAGAGGAGGGAGTTAGGGAAAATAACAACATGAATGGCTGAAAAACCTATAAAGAAACATCCTGTTAATGATTTATCCACCCATCCTCCCCAAAACAGTAAAAAGAAAATAGTGTTTTCTTGAAACCTAGAAATTAGTTCCTTAACTCTGAATTGTAGGTTCACAAAGTGTTTACATTGTATGAGAACTAAGCTGCAAACCGTCTTTGCCCATTTATAGTCATACTGGCTATATAATTAATAAGATCTAGAAGGTACAGTGATGGTCCTCTGTTAAGGTTAAGTTTTAAAACAGCGTGGCCCAATCTAGCTTGTTCTTATGGGGCCACCATGTTCTCAACTAGGCAAGGCCTGTAGCCAAGAGCAGTGGCATGCTCCTGCTGGTGCTCTGCTCTTACTTCAGCTCAGGCTGGCCAGAAGCATGGGTCCTAGCACCCATGAGACACCATCGTGGTTGCTGGCTCTGACAATCCACCTCGCTGTCACCACAATGCTTAGCTGAGCCCAGACCATCGCGCCATCTACATGGTACCCAGTAGAAATGAGACTCTACAGCTTAATTATTATCCAAAGGCTTTATATATTTAGAAATGCTCAATTAACAATTTACTCACACAATTTGAGTTGTTAACCAATACTTAACCTTAGATAAAATTCATTACCCAGGATTGATATGAACCCACGCAGGGTTCTCCATGGCTCCTACATTTCTCTCCTCCCTAGCTCCCCTCCTTTTTCCCCTCTCCCTCTCCTTGGTCCTCCCACATTAGCTTCTCCCAAATTACCGAGTTTATTGTAAAATGAAGCAGGGGAAATATACTGCTACAGTCCTCCACTGTATCTAGGTCCTTAATGCAAAATTCTGAGAATGTAAGCTTCCATGGGAAAAGAAATATATAAAAAACAAAGAAAAGATAAATTGAAATAGAACTTTTGCTGCTTAAAATTGCCATATTATCATGAATTATGATTGTGATTCCATTAGAATTGCTAGTCAAAATGTGGATAAATGCAGAATAGAGCATAGTAAAATTATAGACTATGTTGCATTCTCATCTGATTATTTTGGATATCTTTTATGATTTTCCCATAGCTCATCATAGCTTTGTTAATTTATACTAATTTGATTGATATTCTATGCTCATCACTACTGTTTTAGTTGTTACATATATAACAAGCCAATTTAAACTGATAGTATTAGATTTCTAAAATATGAGACTCAGGTGCACTACAGGAACACAAAGTATGCATTCTGTATAAATATGACTCTAAATGCATTTATTATTCATAATATTCTCTGTATACAGGAGATACTTGGAGGGTATATAGAAATGTAGGCTATATCCAGGATGAAGTATCAAAAGTGAGAGACAGGTTACTCAAGAATTAGTAGGAGAAATAGAATGATGATATACCCATACTGTCTAGTGAATCATAAATTTGATGTATACTCCATTATTTTTTTTCAGATATATGGGATAGACTTCCGTTATGATTTTAAGATAAATACACTTTCCATTAATGTCTTCAATCAAGCATGTTCTTTATTTCCAAGCTGGACTTGGAATCTTAGCCAATACATTTCTTCTGATTTTCTATATTTTCATAATCCTAGGTCAAAGATCCAAGCTCATGGACCTGATCTCCTGTCAATTGACCTTTGTTCATATAATTATGGTCTTCAGTGGATGGGATATTTGGCTTTCAGACATATTTGAGTTACTGAACATTGAGAATGACTTCAAATGTAAGGCAACTTTTTACACAAACAGGGTGATGAGAGGCCTCTCTATCTGCATCACCTGCCTCCTGAGTGTGTTCCAGGCTGTCACTATCAGTCCCAGTACCTCTTTGCTGGCAAAATTTAAACATAAACTGAAAAAATATGTCATCTATGCTTTTTTCTATTTTTGGTCTTTCAATTTGTCATTCAGCAGTAACCAGATTTTCTCTGTTGGTGCTTATACCAATGTTAGTGAGACCAAACAGATGAAAGTAACTAAATATTGCTCACTTTTTCCCATAAACATCATCTTCAGAGGATTGATATTAACAGTGACAACTTCCAGAGATGTGGTTCTTGTAGGAGTCATGCTAACCACAAGTACATACATGGTGGTTATCTTGTTCAGACATCAGAGGCAATGCAAGCATCTTCATAGGATCAAGCACCTGAGAACATCTCCTGAGAAAAGGGCTACCCAGATTATCTTGCTGCTGGTTGTTTTCTTTGTGGTCATGTACTGGATAGACTTCATCATCTCATCCACCTCAGTCTTGTTATGGAGGTACAACCCTGTCATCCTGACTATTCAGAAGTTTGTGGTGAATGCCTATCCCACAATTACTCCTTTGGTACAAATCAGTTCTAATAACAGAATAATCAATATGCTGAAAAACTTGTGGCTAAAATGCCACCAGGCATTTTAAAGAGGGGTAGTTTTTCTCTTCTTAAAAAGGAGACTTATTTTATTTTATTAAATTTATTTTACATAATATTGTGCCAGAATTTTGGTCTTCCTTCTTCTTGAACTTCATATGATCTATGAGTTATATCATGGGTATTTTCTCTAATGTCTACTTATTAGTGAAGACATACAATGTGTGTCTTTTGTGACTGGGTTACCTCACTCAGGATGATATTTTCTAGTTCCATCCATTTGCCTCTAAATTTCATGAAGTCATTATTTTTCATAGCTGAGTAGTACTCCATTCTATAAATATATTTTTTTATCCATTCATCTGTTGAGGGACATCTGGATTGTTCTAAACTTCTGGCTATTATAAACAAGGCTGTTATGAACATAGTGGAGCATGTGTCCTTGTGGCATGGTAGAGCATCTTTTGGGTATATGTCCAGGAGTGTGGTATAGCTGGGTCCTCAGGTAGAACTATTTCCAATTTTCTGAAGAACTACCAGACTGATTTCCAGAGTGGTTGTACGACCTTACAACCCCACCAGCAGTAAATAAATGTTCCTTTCTCCACATCCTTGCTAGCATCTGCTGTCACCTGAGTATTTGGTCTTAGCCATTCAGGTGGAATCTCTGAGTCCTTTTGATTTGCATTTCCCTGATGACTAAGGATGTTGATTATTTGTTTCAAAGTTCTCAGCCATTCGAGATTCCTCAAGTGAGAATTTTTTAGCTCTGTACTCCATCTTTAATAGGGTTATTTGGTTCTCCAGAGTCTAACTTCTAAAGTTCTTTGTGTATTTTGTACATTATCTCTCCATTGGATATAGGGTTGGTAAAGATATTTTCCCAATCTGTGGGCTGCCATTTTGTCCTATTAACAATGTCTTTTGCCTTACAGAAGCTTTTAAATTTTATGAGATTCCATTTATCTATATTTGATCTTAGAGCCTCAGTCATTGGTGCTCTGTTTAGAAATTTTTTCCCTGTGCCCATGTGTTCAAGGCTCTTTTTCATTTTTCTCTTTTATTATATTCAGTGTATCTGGTTTTATCTGGAGGTCCTTGATCCACTTGGAATTGAGCGTTGTACAAGAAGATAAGAATGGATCAATTTTCATTCTTCTACATGCAGACCACCACTTAAACCAACACCATTTGCTGAATATACTGCATTTATTCCACTGGATTGTTTTGGGTTCTTTGTCAAAGATCAGGTGACAATAGGTGTGTGGGTTTATTTCTGAGTATCAATTCTATTCTGTCTGTTTGTTTAAGCTGCTGTTCTCTTCACAATTGCTTTCATCCTCACCACTATCATAGCAATGTTCTCAATTTGCTTTCCTAGTTTCTAGAGTTAAAGGTTATATAATCACATCTGAAGATGTGGAGAAAGAACATATGACACCAAGACAAACACTATTTTCAACACATTATGATAAACATGAACTCACTGAAAATGGCCAGACAGTGATTTTGTTTGGCATTTTCTGTTTTAAAACAAATTCCTTCCTATGCAGTGGATAACAAGGCTCCAGTGTTACCATACACTGTCAACACCACACACACATTTTACACTTTCATTCAACAGTCTTATCTTTAATAACAATGTTAGTATTTGGCCTGGTTACCAGAATCAATGAATCAACGTATTAATGAAAGAATTTATTTCAGTACTTAGTACCAACTTTGTTGTAGAGAAATAGAAAACAAGGACACAGATGCAGACTGTTGTTAGAAAGAGTGTTTACTTATATTTTGATATTCACTAGTGTACTACAAATATAAACATGCATGTGTATATGTAGAGAAATCATGCAGAAATTAGTGCCTGAGACCATCCTACATGTCTATGAATATGATACCTGTCTTAGGTAGGGTTTTAATACTATGAAGAGACACCATAACCATTGCAACTCTTATAAGGGACAACATTTAATTGCAACTGACTTATAGCTTCAGAGTTTCAGTCCATTATCATCCACAGCAGGAAGCATGGCAGGGTTCTACATCATGTTCTGAAGGCAAACAGGCAAAATTTTATATTAACATTAGTTTTGCTCTTAAAAAGCTTAATCTAGTAAAACAATGGATTCTTCCCAATTTAAAGAAACAAGCATATAATTCTTTCACCAACATACATTTACAGTAGCTGTAAAGTGATGTTTTGTATTATTACTATTTATTATTATTATTATTATTATTACAATCTCAAGATTATTAGCTGGAGAAATGGCTCAGTAGTTAAGAGTACTATTAAACCTTCCAAGTGACTGCAGTTAGATTCCCAGCCATGACATGGTAGTTTATGGCCATCTGTAACTTTAGTTTCAGAGGATACATTGCCCTCTCTGACATGACATGCTACTAGTACACACACATATATGCAAGTAAAACATTCATAAATGTTAAATATATAAATAATTATTTAATAAATAAATAAAATGCATTGAGGATAATATGTACTTCAAGCCTTAGTCTTCAAACTAAAAGAACAACATTTAAATGTACAAACCATGTATGTATAATCCATTTTATTAACTGTACATCTACAATTTATAAAACACATGTAATACTATTAATATAAAAGATGATAACTTAAGGTAAAAGATAGTAAAATCTTTTTTTTCTTATTTCAAAGTTACGTATGCATTTCAACGTGTCTACTTTATATCTATTTCTTTGTAAATGCTTAGCACATACAGCAAATGATACATCTTCTTTCTCATCAGGTGACATCTTTCTCTAGGGTTAATTGAAGCTAATAATAGACCAGAAATGATAACTACTATGGCTAAAAACAGAGTTGTTAACATATGCATGGGCTGAGAAAGGTAATTTGTTTTGTTTGAAAAATATTTGCAGTGATGGGAGCTTTGACATTAGTTTAAATTGTAGTATTCATTTATAAGTATAAAGCCCAAAGTATGCCTAAAAACATTCATAAAACTAGAAAAGCAATCACTATTAAGTTGACTCAGATCCAAATACTAAGCTGTCTGAAGAGACCTGCCACTAGAGTCCAAGACCTGCTTTCAATGTAGCTGTACATTCTTCCAAGAAAGACCACATTACCTCTTCATTGTCATCGTATTTAATTTTAGAACAGTCTTGTTTTATGAATTTATGGTGTTCTATACCTTCTGCTTTGTGGAGATTTTGTAATATAAGGAATATAAAACTATATGAAAAGTATCATTTTGATTTTGTTTTACCATATTTAGTGTGTAATGACCAAAATGCAGTATGACTACACACAAAGAACATGAAGTGAATGTGACTTTTAAGTGACAAGATACATGGTGTTAGCTGATGTACAGTCCACTGTCAGCAACAAGAATCAGTCTTTAGGAATCTCAAGTGATGAAGACCTTAGCCACCCACCTTAGTTTCATGGAATTTTTATGAAATAGATAATGACAACAGGAACAAATAATGTTCACAAATTAATAATGTATTGATTCATAGCTATTACCTGATTTCTATTAAATAAATTAAATATGTAATTGTCCTTTGGAAATTGACTTTAATCTAGGTGTAACTGTAAGCACACAGATATTGACAAGATTATTACAGTATCATAGTTACAAACTAGTTCCTCTGAGATGAACCATCAGAATCAGAAGCTTCACTGCAAAGACTATGGGGAAGCAATCATGACTAAAGCTGCATTGCAAGTTGCATGGCATGAGTTTAGGAAAGATATGGAAATGTTCACTGGAAATGCGTGCATGCATGTTTGTGCATGTGTGTTTGTCTGAAATTATTGGACTATTCAGCATAATAACAGATCAATAGCATAGTGAATGCCAGGGCTACTTACATGAATTCATGTACAACACTTGAGTGAAAAACTGAGTTATATATAAATTTATACATGTTATAAAATGAACTTTAAGGAAAATTGAGACTGTGCCCACTTTTTTCCAGTTGACCTATCAGTGCAGATATTTGATGTAATTTACTCAAAACAGACTGAAAATTCTGTAATGCTTGCAAACATAAGCTAGAGTTTCCAGCATTTGTTTTTTTGTGGTGTTGATACTTGGGTCAGTGACTAAATAGCACCAACTCGCTTGACTTTATTCCATTGTTATTTAACAAAAATTTCATAATTCTACATTATCTGCTTTCCACTTTAATTTTGTTTAGTATTTGTGTGTGTGTGTGTGTGTGTGTGTGTGTGCGCGCTCATTTGCACGCATGCTCATGTGCATGCATGTGTGTTGAAGAAAAAGAGGGAGAGAGTCATAACTGACTTCAATAAAACCTGTAATGCTCCTGCCTGAGCCTTCGTTGTCAATTTTCATCTTATATACATTGGTAAAAGATATTCCAGCAGAATAAAAATGAACTTGTGATCTTCATCACCTAAATTTAAATTTACAATGCATTTCCTTATGAAGTCACATTTTAACGTGCAATTGTATTTTGTAACTATTCAAGGAAATCTTGGGCAGTTTGACTTTACATAATTGTATACAATTTGAGAATTGAAAATACTTTTTCTCAATATAATAAGAAACTTACTCAATATTGGATCAGTAGAATTGTTACAAAGTTTGATATAGAAAATTTGAAATCTTAAAACTGAACTTATTTTAACTGAAACCACAGAAGGCACAGCTAACCAGCTACCAAAAAGATTAATGAAAAAAAAAGATACCCCCACAAAGCCAGGCCCAACCATAAATACGATGAATAGCAATTTACATCCAGGGAAGAGAAATCTCCCTGAGAATCCCCTTCTTTTTCCTTTCCAGGTAAAAATGAATCACCTGTGATGTCTGCTGTTAGAAGTTCTAATCCAGATGCTGGCCTCCAAACTTATACTACTCAGACCTTTGAAGGGCCACTGACAAGAACATCAAACAGCTAGAGATTGACATCACTAATCTGAAGAAATCCCTCGTTTTGCTGTCTGAAGAGACCTCCAAAAATCGCAAAGATCCTTATTGGACTTGATTTACTCTAGTACAATAGAAAAGGCTGTATACAGCTCTTGACTGTGTACAAC